TATTTTTTTGTTGACTCATGTTTCGGTGTTCTTTTTGTGGACATTGTTACGGTCTAAATTAGAGGGTATTACTAAATATTATGTTTTATTAATTTTATCGTACGATTTTATATACGGTTTGATAAAGCTGGCGACACCTTTAAATTAATTACCAAATATTTTAATTTACCTTAAAGAAATCAATAAAAACGATTTGTTTATATTATAGTTATTTCTACTAAAAAAAAACTCATTTCTTATCGCGCTCTTTATTTATTGTTAAACATTTATAAAATCGATCTTGTATTATTACATTTTACAATGGTTAAATGATGTAATGTTTTATAGGTTCAAATATGTACATAATATTTATAAGAATCGTTCCTGTTACCCAAAATAATTTTAATTTATTACTTAAAATTATTAATGGTAATGAAATATTATCACCATTGGCCCTCTATGGAAAACCCTTCAAAGTATTATACCCTCTCCTTGAGTGTCATTTCTCTCGGTGACAGTTTAGTTGGTGACTCGCCATCTTGGTTATTTTGTGGGCGAAAATATATTTTTGGTTGTATTTAGTGCCATCGTTATAAGTAACGGATTTAATTATTTCCCCATATGCCATGTTCATCCAATAAGTTGTTACAATAGATTATTTTATTGAAAAGTAGTTTAGATTATTGGATGTTTGCGGATTTATTCCGGATTTCGGCAAGAGCCAATTCATGAAACAATTTCTCCTTATAGTCGGTAAGTCTTAATCTTCAGTGTGTCTTTTATAAGACTTATCTTGTTGTTTATTTTATTAGTTCCACAATCCACACAACAAGGTCTGTTCGATCTTCTTAAAATACGAACGAAAATCGGTACTGTTATGCGCACATACGGCTACCGCCATATTTGATTTATTTGCCGGCGTTAATTTAAATTACCCAAAATAGTAATAGTAAACAAAGTTTTTTTTAAGTTTTAAAGGAACTGGAAATGTTTTTTAACATTATAAGATTTGTAAAATGTGAAATCACTATTTCTGCCATTATTCTTGCAAGTTTTTACCATACAGCATGCCACTAAATAAATAAATTTTTATATAAATAGGAGAAACATTTTACCATAGTTTTACTTACTGATAAAACAATATTTTTTGCACAATAAACACAAGTACACTGGTACAGTCAACAAAATCCACAATAATCCAATAAAATAACAGAAGCACACTAACAAAAGAAGAATTTTTAAACACTAACCAAAGAACTTTACACTATAATCCACAATAATAAAGAACAAAACCAAACAACTATTACAAATCCGCATAAAACAGCACAATAATTGCAAACAATGAAATTGTAAACAATGAAAATGGCGACTAACGTATGAATGTATACTAGGTTGCCTAATTTTGTGATTTTTAACATGCGCGAATAAAGATCGAACAGACCTTGTTGTGTGGATTGTGATTAGTTCCTGTATTGTGTATTTTGAATATAATTTCATAAAAGTTTGCCCTTACGTATTTCTTTATCTGCAAGGGTTGCAAGCCACCAAAAGTGGTAAGTTATTTATTTTTTTTTGTTTTCTTTTCGTTAGTATTTTATCTATGAAGCTACATAGTTTTCTCTCCATAGGCTGTTAGTGCGAGGTTGTGAATAAACTTTGAAACCGCGCAGTCCGAGGTCAAGTTCCCTTGCCGAGTAGTCGACGAGCCTTAGCACTCATACTCGTGAACTAGAGGGATCTGGATGCTGACCAAATTTGAGAACCAGTGGCGGATTTACACATTTTCAAGGTATAGGCTGAATAGTTTTTGCCGCCCTTGCCTCAACAATTGTCATATCATACATTATTTTTACAATGCAACAATTTCGTTGAAATTGCACGTAAAATAATTTTTCGGTATATTTTTGAGCTAATCGAAGCTCAATCCTGTTTGGGCGGGGTAATGTATGCTATTTACACAATAATGAACATTTGGTAAACGTGAATAAATAATCTTTATTGCGCTTTCAAACAGTTAAAAATAATCGACTCAGTCATATTTTTTACAATTTCGCTCTTTTCACTCATAAGAAGTGTGGGCAAAGGGCGCAGAGGCGAGAGGCCGATTACTGGTTGAGGGGCGGCGAACTAGCTGTTTTACTCTAGAATATGAAAGTTTGCTACTCTCGGAATGTGCAATGACAAGTGAGAGAGAAAAGTCATCGACAAAATTTGTTGCAGACTTCTATCTGTAAGACATCAGAAAACCATAGAAAAATCTTTTTGATTTCTATGAGGGAAAAAAAAAATCGTTCCCCTAATTTGCCGCCCCCAAAATCTGCCGCCCTAGGCTCGAGCCTACTCAGCCTGCTGGTAAATCCGCCACTGTTGAGAACTGATAAGTACCATACACGAAAAAAAGTGAATTATACTAATTAAATATTGATGCGTAATAAGTAATAATAATATCACTAATTATTACTATTTCAAATAATAATCTCTTTGTTCTGACATTTACTTCATAATAATTATTAATTAAATGATCAAATTTATGGTTTATTTGTAAAAAAGTAGTATTCCATATTTTAAAAATTACGATTTTCTCGTTAAAAAAGTAGGATTGTAATAATTGATAAGTAAAGCTATAATGTTTATAGTTTTGTAGGTTAAAATTTGAAGTCAAAAAGATAAAAAATATAAAACCAAAACATAAAATTTATAAATCAAAATAAAAAAATTTAATGCCTCTTATGTAATAAAATTGACATATGTAGTTGTTATATTTTGTACAGAAACAATATTGGATAGTACTTTTTCATATATGAAATAATAAATTCTTAATTATACTTAAATAAAATTCACTAGTAAGGTCCATAAAATGTACTATGTGAAATAGTAAATTTTATGTTCCATACTAAATTTACTTGATACTTAGGATATTCTTCAACTTGTATAAAGTATCATTTGAACTCAATAATTTTTATTGTTTGACATTATACTTTTTCACGTTTGAAACGCAAAAATCTATCCCTTCTTCCGCATATCGCGCTAGGTCATGATACAAAGAAACAAAGATATGATATTGCGCAGGTCGGACGCCATATTTCTACGTCACGCGGTAAGTAAACAATCGAAGCCATTGTCAGCGTTGCCAACTTAGCGACTTTGTCGCTAGATCTAGCGTTTTGAGGTAGCCATTTGAGACATTTTTTTATGATTTGCGACGTGTCTCAAACCTAGCGTTTTTCACATTGTGTTGGCGACATTTTTGGAGACATTTTAACATTGATAATGAAATTTGTTTTTAAACAAAACAACAAAATAATTTCTAGTTTAAAAAATTTCAAATTAAAATTTGTTACGTTGGCATGGCCAACTTGGCAACGACGCATCCGTACGTCATCCGTCAAATGTCAAAAACTGCAAAAATAGCCGGGCAATTGTCAAATCCCATTATTTATTTATTCTTTTATAATCTGTGTTATGGAAAATCTTAAGGGATTTTGGCACTTTGCAGGCTTATATTAATGACTGAATTTCTTGAAAATTTAGAGGAAAATTTATTAATAAACTATTTTTTTTTTAATTTTTTTTATTTACCTTAAGAATTATTTATTTTTATATATTTTATTTATTTTTCTTATTTTAGAATGACTTGATTTTTTAATGTTATGTTATTTAAATAAAATATTTGTTAACAATTATAATTATTAATTATTTTTGTGTAATGATAAGGTAATGCCACAGGGTAATGCATATACCTATAACTTATAGGTTATAGAGTTATAGGTATATGAGATAATGCCATTATCTAGTGTCCTTTACTACAACCACGTTAAAATTCTTTCTTTATAAAAATCAATTCTGTTTAAAATTTTGCAACCACTTTAAACTTTTTTTCTCTTTTTTTTTAAATTTGCGACATCTGGCGATTTTTAAGTGCCAAATAATTTAGCGATTTCTGGAGACTTTTGAAAAGCTTGGTTGAGACTTTTCACAATAGACTGTTGGCAACACTGGCCATTGTATTGTAAAACAGTGTTAAAAGTGATATACTTTGTTAGTTAGTTAGTTAGTGTTAGTTAGTAAGTTAGTTAGTTAGTGTTTTCAGCCAATTTGCGCTGTATATACTTTGTTATTTAGTTAGTTAACTTATTAATTAATCATGCGGTGTGCTGTGTTTGGCTGTAATAGTGACGATCAAGGAAGGAGTTATATAAAACCCAAGTAGCACACTTTGGCCACATAAGAGTTGTAGAAAGGCTTATAGAACTTTACTTAAAACTGTGTAACTTATAAATAAACTTCATATATTACTACTAAACAACGTTAATAACCACCAATTTGGGAATTTTTTATAATATTAAATGACTTTTTGCAAGGTTATATAAAACTGTATTCACAAATACTATGCACCTCTTATTAATCTGTTAATCCATATAGTTGTTTTGGAGTTTTAATAGCTTTACATAATAATATGTAAAAGATTAACTTTAAATTGTTAATATATTTGTTATATAAAGGTTATAAAAACTATACTAAGGACCTCTAAAAAACTAACCCTAATCGGTAAATATTACTAGGTTGCATTGGACACAGTCTATCTTTCAATATGACAATTATATAACTTACATAAAACATATCTTTTTAATGTTTATTCAACTTACTTCTTAATTAATAATAATAACTCTTAAAAATAAAATTATCTGTAGATATTTATTATAAACATAATGGTTATATATTTTATGATGGATGGTAAAACTTGTATGTATATAAAAATAAGTACGTTTAGACGTGGGACGGCTACTGTGTTTAATAAAGTTAAAAAAGATTACAATGGGGTTTTCAATAGTAAAAACTATTTAAAACACGAAAGTTTTCCTAACGACGGTTCCTACTGAATGCATGGGTACCCATGGGTAGAGGGTAAAATTCTGTATTTCCCAAATAAGGATGCCGAGGTCCTGCGGGCCCAATGAGGAAGTACTAATATAAAATACAATAATTTTTTGAAATAATTATTTACGAAAGTATATACAAAAATGAATTATAGATATGCTTCAAAATTAATAGAAAAAAGAAAACATCCTGTCAATGATATAACTTTACAAGAAGCAAGAGATTATAATGACAGATTTCCATCTGTGTCACCAGCTCTATCATCTCGATCGGAAAATAGTAGTTTATCCAACCGAACAACAGGTAGGTAGTTAATTTTTAGTACTTCCAATGGTTCTTTAGTTATTTATTTAGAGTTTCCAATTGCTCAACCAATTACCAACCAACCTCAAGTATTATATGTTGTTGAAAATGTGGATGGAATGGAGATATTACCCAATGATACTGTTACCTTTTTATTTTTATTAAGAACCATTTAAAATGCCTACCTTATTTTGCTTGCGTAAATAGATAGATATGTGCTAAATTTCTCTTATTGTGCCTTTGTTTTGCTCGTAATACGCGTTTGGGCCATACATTTGTCTTTTTGATGGTGTTTACCTCTTTGACATACAACTCCAGGTACCTAAATAAAACAGCTGACTCTTGATAAATAAACTAACTTTATTATACATGTTTGGCTATGACATTTCGTTTTTGGGTAGTCTGAGTTCTAAGGGCCTAAAATAAGAAACATGGTTGTTGTATCTACGCCTTATTGTATGCCATATTTACCTTTTTCCTGCCTGTGTAATCTGCAGGATATTGTGAGGTTAGGTTGATTGTTTTCATGGAAAATAACCATGTCCGCGAGGCTTCGAAGACTCTAAAAGGTAAATTATTGGCTAGTTTGTGTTCAGAATCATTCTTGTAGTGTACTTACTGTGTTTTGGAATTAGTTTTGAGAGAATTGTTTTGCCGGGAATGTCATATGTCATAGTTGTCATTCAACACTCAGTGTTGCCAACCGCATAGCGGAATACCCTAATCTTCGCTTCAAAATTCAAAGTTTTTCTGTTCCGGTAGGGCTGCAGGTTTATTAGATATGTGACAATTTCCCTAGAAATCCGGAAACGGTTTCGACCATCATTGTTTTTCGAGATCTTGGCGCTGAACGTTGCTCGCAGGATATTTTGAAGTATCGACTTGTGTTTATTCGATCCGTTAGTGTAAACGGGATTAATCTTCAAAAATACCTTTCGTGGACTGTTTAAGGCTATTTAGTGTACGTATTTTTGGCGATTTCGAGCCTTAAAGTCCTTCGCAATTTGGCGGATTCATCGAGCACGTTTTGGTAAGATCCAAATTTTTAGTCACGTTCATGTCTAATAGCCCTCGTCCCTCTAGGACCGATATCTGAAAGCAATCTTTTGGCCGCACTCACCACCGTCACGGATATTTTCCTATGTTTTCGTTTACCTGCTAAAAATAACCAGACCAGGCGTAAGTACACTACATTTTCTCACATAAGACCATTTTATAACGTTGTTAATCCCTTGTAGGGCCACTTCTAACTATTTTAATACTGGAAATCACACTATTAACTATATTGATACTGGAAAGCACCTAGCACACCACCTAAGTATCACCTTTTATTGACCTGGTACGACCAAGGAGAAACCATCCCGATTGTGACCTACCCCACCGATTTTGACAACCCCATCTCGATAGTGACCTATAAGCCCGCAACAAGTGACAAAGTCTATCTCCGAATGAGTAGCAGCCCCAAATTTGACATAACACCAACCACGACGTAACACCCATGGATCTTGATAAGTTTTTGCTCTGATTACTACCTATTCGAACTTTGAATTTCTTAATTTAATAATTGAAATCGGGTCCATCAGACCCCATTAAGAAATTAACCTTTTTAAATTTTATTTTGTAAATTTGATTGCCTGTCAACGTGATAGGGAGATAGATTGTTAAAATTTGTTTTTATTTGGCCAACACAATATTTCCCAAGAGCTGCTGCATAAAATTTATTTAATTTAAATCCCATACTGGGATATTATATTTGGGTCTTCACTTTCTTTTCGGAATTTTATCCGTTAGTTTTACTTTTCTTATTGGAAAATATTTTAGTATTTTTTTTTTAAAGTGCAGAGCTGTCGGAAATATTGTGGCTTGGTGGCTAGTCTAGCTATAATAAGACAGGCGTGTATTCAGGGTTGCCTAACCTCAACAGGAGGTAATTTTTAATTTTCCTTTTCTTTAATTATTAAATCTGTAAACCAGGTGATATCACTACGGTCGTACGTAATAGAGAAATTACTTTTTGTTTAACATATATATAATACGAATAATTTAATACGAATACGCTCCCTGTCTTGGCGCTATTATACTTACCTTTTGTTGTTTGTTAAGCTAATAGGCTCACAGAATTTGACTAACCATACATTCTAGATTTACTTGATAATACCTATTTTTTTTCTACTTATTTGGGAAAACCTCAATTAATCTCAAAACCTTGTACATAGAACCCCGACGAAGATAAATATATTTGAATAATTTTTAAATACAGCCGTTTCCTTTAACTGCTGCATATCCGGTAATTGGTATGCGGTGTAACTAATTGTCTAGCCTAACTAATTCATTTACCTGGCGCCCAATCCCGAAGTAACTCCTTGTTCCTTGAACCACCCCCATCTCCCCTCTTCAAGCTGGTCGAAGGCAAATTTTACACCGGAATTGGTTAGTATTTTTCTTTGTTTTAGTATTTGGTTCTAAATTATATTTTCGGTGTAACAATACTACCATAATTAATGATAATCAAAATATTGAGTATGTTATTAAAATAGAAAATAAATTAATAATTCAATTGTACAAACTTTTTTTAGTTAGAGTTGAAGTTAAAAATTATTTGAATAATGAAATAGCCAAGATAAATACAAAACTAGACAGAATAATTTTTCTTATGGAAAATAAAACAAATTATACTGACTTTGTAACGAATAACGAAGAGGAGGCTGAAGAAGAAAATGTAGTTTCATTTCCTCTTAAAACCGTGGAGGACGTATTTGAATTGGAGGCACAATTAGAAGAAACTGATATGTTTAAAAAAATTGTAAATATGGAGACATTATTTAAAAAAAATATTCACAATGTACAAATTTTATACAATAGATATTTTTTAATTTTAGGCTAAAAAATTTAAAAATGAATTTGTTGCTTGTGGCCTTGTTAACAAAATATACTTGGACTGGCATGTCCAAGGATAATTTAAAATTGAATTTTAGTCAATTAAAAAATATCAATAAATTTTTTTATTCAATTGTTAAAATTGCCGATAAATCCTATTCGCAATTAAATCATGAAGATTTTTTTTAAAACTGCATTTTAAAGTACAGTGACGTAAGAGCAGCACCTCGAAAAGCTGCAAAAAGGCAATCGACCCCTCGAACTTCGTTGCCAAGAAAAAAAGGGTTATTGTAAATTTGGAGGATGAAGAAAATCTTTTAGAAGATGATAATAATGTAGAAGAGGACTAGAGGGAAAAAATATTAAGCCGCCACCACACATGCTCGTTATAGCGGTCCACAAATATTCGTTATTTGGCAAAGATTTCGGAGATTTCGCCTCAAACTTGCTCAAAGTTATTTGTTTTTATACAGTCATTTTTACAAAGATGTAATGTGATAATATTTTATTTAGTTTTTGTAAATTGACTTATTTTGTTTTGTGAAAGAAAAATACGAGATTATTTTTATTAAAGAAATAGTTTTTATTGTTATTAATACTTGTTTTGACAACGAATAAAAATGTTGTGTGCAATTAAATTTAAGAATTAGAATTAAGAGTATGTATTAAAGGAATAAATATAATTTTGTTTTTATAGTTTAAAAAGACCAATTTACATTTTACCTCATTTAAACCATATAATTTACCAGACTCCATTTTTCCTGATGACTCGTAAATATTTAAATGTGATGAATTGAATGGTTTATCAAAAAGATGTTGCTAAGAAATTAAGCTCTTTCCATAAATATGCAATTGATTATGATAAAATCTTACATTTTCCATAGCAACAATTTTATTATTTAAAGTCAAGAACAATTTATTTTTATCATCCTTCTTTAATGTAAAGCCATCCCTCAAAAATAGTGTTTCATATACTTTATTGCAATTTGGTAAAATATGTTTACAGTTTGACACTTCCTTACTTGCTAAAGGAAAATTGAACAGGGTTAAAACTTCCTTTGAAATTGTTAAAAATTCGCTTGATCGCTTTGCAACTTGATGAAGAGGTTTGTTTCCTGACCTTAGTAATTTTTTAATTTGATATAAAGCATTTTCAAACGGGTACGCGCTAAAAGATGGCAATGGACCGAATCTTTTAACATCCCCTACTAAATGGTGTAAATTATGAACGTTACTTCCAACTGAGTCTAATCCATATAAGTTAATAAATCCTTCTATATTCATTTAATAAATCGTTCGCAGTATCTAAATACTTGAAATATAATTTGGGAGTGCAAATAGTTACTGCACAAAACAACAGTAGAAAATGATGATAAACATCAGGTTTTAAAAAGTCCTTACCACACCTAAATACAAAAGGAAAGTTCGGAATTCTAGACCTTTCCAAAATTTTATACAATCCAATCCTCGTATTGCCCGATGAATTTCCAATGGCATACTTTTATTAAATTCTTGTAATATGTTGGACATTTCAGTAATCTCATTGGCACTTAGCTTAGTTTTAAAATTAAAACTCCCGTGAATCCATCCTGTTAAACATTTTTTCATTATTCCTAAATCCAATAAATGAAGAGAGTCCGCAACTACAAAGTCTGCAACCATATCTATAGGGAGATTCTCTAAGGGTGAAGTTTCTTTATGATGGTCTTCGTCTAGTGTTTCTAAAACATAAGTCGGTTCTAAGTGGTGCGTTGAGTCTATGAAAACTTGTATGGTGCCCTTCTGTAAAATACTCTACTTCAGTTAAACATTTATGACATCCATGTCGATGATTAAAGTTAACCGTACCTATGCAAAAAAGAAAATATAAATTTTGTAAATATACCTAAAATTATTACCCTTTATGAAAGCTCTTGCAGGTGAATCACAGATAAACACTCTTGTTTTAACAGTAACTATTTTATTTTCAATTTCTATTCCATTTTCCAATAAGTTTTGCAACTCAGAAACAAATTTGGATAAAAATGATTTTAACTCAGGTTTCCGTTGTCCGTAAAAAATTGCTACGATCATCGGAGAAATTTCTACGTTTTGTATAGGGCCAAAATTCGTATTTCGAACTTTTGTGAAGAGGTAACCCATCGATGTTAAAGTTTAGAAATATTGACGAAACGTTTTTCAATAGGTGCACATAAGAATAATTTTGTAGACAATTTTTTACTCCATTGTACCAAAATTGTCCACCAGGATTCATTATTGTAATTTCAATTATTTTAGAGGTTTTTAGAAGAGTGCGCCCATCAGAGTGTAATTTGAATTTTGAGTTTGTTATTAATGAACTATTAATTATTTTTAATAAGCCATTCAAAGCTTGATGAGTAATCTGGTTCTCAATGGACCAATTTCTTAGTTCTTGTTTAAATTCTTCCTGTTTCTTAACTTCATCGTCAAATGGTAGTTCTTGTAGGACATCGCTATCTTCTTGAGTTATTTCTTCATCAATATTATTCCTTATTTTGTATGGATCATCCTTATTTGTATCTAGAAAGCTGTTTAATCCTTAGTTTACATAGCAAGCTTATGTTTAAATTTTGTATTTTCTTACCTTACTTTGGATGGAATATTGGAATAACCTTTTGATGTGCTTGTTACATTTTCAGGGAAGTTTTGATGTGAAATTACTTTTTCTCCTGCAAATTTTTTATTTGATGTAGTATTTTTATTATTGCTTTCTTTTAAATATTGATTTAATTTAATATAATAACTTGAAGTATGCTTGAAGGGTTTCTTATTTTTTTTTTATTCGGTTCATAATATAATTTTGCAAAACACAATAAACAACAACCGATTTTTTGTAAACTCTGCTAAAATGAAAATGATGAAACAACAAAGTGGTTCATAAAACAGGTTATTAAATGGAGATGCAAAATTATACATTTATAAACCCTAATACATTGTTATAAATGCGGGTTGTATAAAAGACAATAAAGCTATGACACATATTTTTAAATAATTAATTAATACAGAGTTGTAGCAATAAGTTGTAAATAACTTATATAAGTTTTTATATTTCAGTTTTATAAAAGTTATATTTAATATAATATAAATATTATTTTTTATTTTTTTTTTCTTAAAAAATATGTTTTCATATACATATGTATATATATATACATATATGTACAAACGTTTTACAAAATCTTTAAAAACCAACTAGTTTTACTTGAAATTAATGTAATTGTGACTTCAATAACCATATCTTATGTAACTTTTTTAAATACTTTTTACAAAAGTGTTTTAATGATCATATAAACGCATAACTAATAATGAATTTCATCTCTTTAAAATAGGTTTGCGTAAGGTTTCAACAATCTTAATGCAACTTTTAGCACCAAGTCAAAAGAACAGTTTTAATAGAGTTATATAGTAGCCTTTAAAACTAATTTTAAGACTACAAATGAAAACCCCAAATAAACAATTGATTGTACCGTTATTATAAATGATACTACAACTGTTTCAATTATAAATTCTGGTATGATAAAAAAGACGTTTAAAAAACTTTATAAAAACTCTTTTTGGTTATATAGTAGACATGAGACGGCTAGTCACATAATTTTAATTTGTGTTTGAAATATATAATACCTCTGTCACAATAGTGTTGATGTTAATGTTAATGGTAATGGTAATGTTAATGTTAATATCCAAAGCATAGAAAAATACGTGTATCCGTTCACAATGATGGTAATGGTGATGGTGATGTTAATGGTTGTCCAAAAAATGTTTGCGTTTTACCATTTACAATAACATCTCCGGTACCATCTACCAATGGGAGCAATGAGCGCACGCATGCGCCAAGCGCACAAAAGTGACGTTGAATGTTTGTAGGTTACTTTGGCTTTGTTTGTTTTATGGATGCTGTGTTTATTATTGTTTTCAAACAGTTTGTTGTAAATTTTATTAAAATGATTGATGTGCTACTACTTTTGGAACTAGTGTAACAATACACATTTATTTTCGATAAAGAACGAAAAGATTTTAAAGATGTAATAAAAAAAGAAAATGCTTGGGCGGAAATCGCTGAAACGCTAAATTGTACAGGTAGGAACATATTTTTCAAAGGTTTTTACATATTACTTTTATAAAATGCTTTGTAGCTGATGAAGTAAAAACCCGGTGGAGAACCCTACGGGAACGCTACAGTAAGGAATTGCGGGAATGCAAACCGCGTAGTGGCCAGGCAGCAGCAGAATTTGAGTCAAGCTGGGAATATTTTCAGGCGATGGGGTTCTTAAAAAACCACATGATGTTCCGCAAGACTTTATCAATGTTGAAGGTACAGGCTGGAGAGTCCTCCTTCTCATGCTTGAAAAATAAAAGGAAAAGTACTCCAAACACAGAAGAATTATCCAAAGATGAAGAACTTGAAGAATTTCAATGTGATGTGGACAGTGGCTGGATTTCACAAGCTGGCCCATCCCGTACACATACTCCGTCTTTAAGCCTCTCAGTGGAAAGCGGGTCTTCACAATCTCAAATACAAAGGGGTGAGAGTTGCAGTACTCCCTCTCAAACGCCAAGTTTTAAAAGAGGCAACCGAAAACGATCAGCTGTAGACCCCATTGATAGAGAAATTTTAAATTCTTTAAAAAATTTAGAAAAAGACGATGCAGATGATGCCTTTGGGAAGGTGGTGGCTTGCGAATTAGAAGAAGAAAAAGCATTAAATTTTTTTCAAATTGTAATGGGGTTAGACGATTATTAAAATGTTTTAAGGGTATCCCAATTAATATATTATAACCTAATTAATATGCATTCAGTCTATAGAAGTTGCAAAAATAAAAAATTATATGTTTTAAAGCTTTGTTTTCAAGATACAGAGTGTTAAAGTTAACAAATTTTTTTTTTTTAAATGTCTTGAAAACTAATTGGTCAATTCAATTTTTAGTATTGGGTGAGGGGCTTAATTTAATGAAATTAGATTTAATTAAGTTATTGCACTTCTTTTTATGCTTTTGATATTATATTTAGATTAAGCAATTGGAAATACAACTTTTTCGTTTTTTGCATTTTTTCTCTAGCTTACTTAATTTAAAAAAAACTAGTTTTTTTTAATTAAGCAAGATGGAGAAAAAATGCAAAAGACAAAAAAGTTGTATTTTCAATTGCTTAATCTGAATTTTATATTAAACTGGCATACCCAATTTTAATTTTTAAATATCTAGTTGAGATGCCCCAGCGCCGCCCCTGGAAATTAAATCTAAGCCATTCATTAAAATTAACGAAGTAGTTTCTTAGATATTTAAAAATATATTTTTTTCTTAACTTAAATACCCTTTAATATCTTGAAAACGTAGCTTCAAAACATAAGTTTATATAAACGTTTCTTATTTTTTCAAGTTCTATCGACTTAATGCATATTAATTAGGTTATATTATATTAATTAAGTTATATTTTTAGAATTATATTTTAGTTCTTTTTTTATTCTTATTTATTATATATAATAGTTTTATTGATATTTTTTTAATAAACATAATTTTTGTACAAAAAAATGTATTATTATTAAACTTGGGACAACCTGTTTATTAGGTATAAATAAAAAACACAATTTTATTGTTTTCTTTATTATCCTCTTCTCCTCTATTTATACAGTAATGTAAGCCAAAAATTAGATTTAACTTTATTGCATTAATAATTAATTTTTCCTCGGTTTACATAATTAATTTGTCCTGGAATCGCTCCAGCAGGGCTGGTTACATATTGCGCCAACTTATCGCGTTGTTGAAGAGCTTTTGCGCCAGGATTATGTCCTCCTCGACCTGTGGCTGCAACGTCCTGAAATACCACATTGAACTGATCTCCTACGTCTACACGCCAGTCACCAGGAATTATTCCATTATCAGTTTCTCGGTCACAAAATCCATTTGGGCAATATCTTCGTTTATTATCAGGCATCGCAAATTCTTTCTGTTTTAGATAATTGTGCAAACACACTGTCGCTTTTACGATGCTATCCACAGTATCTGGAGTCGCTGACAGCATGAATAGCCGCCAACGGGACACAAGAAGCGGTAATTAAAGATCATCTGCTTTGTATTTAAATTGCGACCTTTATAAGTGCAAAGGCATCGTCTGCCACAAAAAAGTAAGGCATTTTAATATTGCTTTGTGGAAGCACATCATCCAGGGGAAATGGAATTTTTCCTTGTCGAAGGATTTCTCCCAGACTTGAGTTGGACAAAACTCCACCATCACTTTGTGAACCATATGCCCCAATATCAACGTAGGTAAAATTATAGTATGCATCACATGCTGCCAACAGAATAATACTAAAATGTTCCTTGTAACAAAAAAAATTGCTTCCTGAGTTATAGGGCTTTGTTATTGCAATGTGCTTGCCATCGATTGCAGAAACTGTATGAGGAAAGTCCCATCGATCTAAAAAATTTGTTGCACTATGTTTTAGTTCGTTGGCAGTCCATGGTTTGAACACAATGTCTCTTAGGGCTGTCCAAATTGCTTCAGTAGTTTCCCGTATAATTACAGAAGCAGTAGAGCGGCCAATCTTGTATCCAGAAGCAATGCTAAATAAAGAGTCTCCTTGCGATAAAAACCTTAAAGTCATGGCTAATCGCTGTGACGGTGATATTGGCTCTCGATAGCTGTTTTTTTGGAGCAATGGTCCAACATAGTTAAGGCACTCATCAAATTGGGTTGACGTCATACGGGTATAAGCAAAAAACCACTCCGGGTCCAAATCCTAAAAGTTTACAATAAATTATCAATAGTATGTACCTACTACTAAATTGTTCTATGTACCTTATATAGCAGAAATGTAGTTTTGTATTCACCAATAGTTTTCCGTTGACGTAAAACCGGCCGAACGCCCCAACGCGTTGGGGCGTTCGGCCGGTTGCAACGTCGCGATTTTCTAGTATAAAACTTTTTCAACACCTTTTCCTTTTTTGACAACATTTTTTATAATCTGTGGTAAATAATAATGACATTTTAGGTTAACATTTTTAAGACATTTCACAATGCATGGTTGGCAATCCTTGTTTTACTGCCCGCTAAATTTAAAACATTAACATACCGCTAACATTATTGTGAACACTACTCAATTTACATGACCATTACCATTAACATTACCATTAACATTACCATTAACATTACCATTAACATTAACATTAACATCAACACTATTGTGACAGAGGCATAAGTCATTTAAACCTTAACCATGGTTATAAAGTTTCTCTTACAATTTTGTGCTACTTGGGAAGGCGACCTAATGTTTTTTCGCTTTCCTAAAGAAGTTAATATTCTAAAGGTTTGGCAGAGTGCATGCGGTCGTAAAGACAATTTTAATGTTTTAAATTCAAGAATTTGTTTAAAGCATTTTAAAAACAGTGATTATGCTCGTAATTTAAAACATGAATTGTTGGGTTACTCTCCCAAAAATTGTCGGCTGATTAAACCTGAGGCAGTTCCAACTGAAAATCTTCCAAGGAAATCATCTTGTTCCACTGCTGGTCCTTCTAGTTCTACTACTTCTAGAGATGTGCGTGCAGAAAAGAAAAATCGTTCTCAGCTGGTTGACATTCTTTTGAGCAATCAAAATATTGAAACAGAGTAAGTCGCTTATTTTTATGAGTTTAACAAAGTAGCAAATCCATGACACAAAACAAACCATGTAGTATGTATTATATTGCAAATTTATGTACCAAATCTAGTTTATAACCTTATAAAAATTAAATAAGCTTGCTCATTATTTGCACGTTGTTGGGCCTCATTCATAATGATCATTAACCAATAGGTATTATAAGCATGTATACATTTTTTAGAAAAAGTACTGGTAGCGGTGAACATAATACAATCTATCTTGGTGGTGAAGAGAGTTTTTTTAAGGATAGTAATGTTAAGAGCAAGAATGTTGAGATTGTCACCAGGGATGTAGGGTAATATTTATATCTGTCTAATCATAATAAAACATTATTAAATTTTGCCTTTCTATATACTTAATAATATCTTACGTTGGCTTTTTAGTATTAACACTGAGCTGGATAAAAGGGATAAAATTATTACTGGTTTAAAAGATAAAATTGCACAACTAGAAGGTGAAACATCAGCAATGAAAACATTATTTACTGCTAATCAAATAAAAAACTACAATACCCTAATGGAAGACAAAGATGGTCTATTGAAGACATTTCCAAAGCAATAGTTATTCACTCTGCAGGTCATCGGGCATATAGATTGCTTTTGAACGAAGGCTTTCCTTTACCAGCTGTATCAACTCTGAGATCATGGCTAAAGAAAATAAAAGGTTTTACCAGGTATACTGAAGCCTGTGTTCAATATAATTAAACAAAGGGAAATGACCAACATCGAGAAAGTTTGTGTGCTTTTGATGAAATGAAAGTTAGAAAAGTTTATCTATATGACAAGGCTAATGATTAAACATTAAAACCTTACAATTATGTACAAGTTGTCATGGCAAGGGGATTATTTTCCAATTGGAAACAGCCGATTTTTTACGACTACGACCGCAGCATAACGAAAGATCTGTTATTTGAAATTATAAATTATGTTCAATTTTCAGGTAAGAAAAATAATATGTTATATATTTATAACATTGGTTTATTTTATTTTGTAGGTTTCCATGTTGTGGCTTTGGTAAGTGATCTTGGAGGAGGAAATAGGTCACTGCATAAAGATTTGAATATTGGCCTGGAAAGAACCTGGTTTAAAAATCCTGCTAATGAACATAGAATATATATATATATATATTTTTGCCGATGTCCCTCACCTTTTAAAATTGATTAGAAATCATTTCATTGACGCTGGATTTATAATAAATGGTAAAGAAATTAATAAAAACACTGTTGAGAAGCTACTTTATATATCTGGCCAATCCAAATTGACAATTGCGCATAAAATTTACAAAGAAACAGTCAATGTAAAGAATGCTGGAAGGCAAAAGGTTAAATGGGCCGCAAAATTATTCTCCCAAACTATTTCCATGGCGATCACAAGATGTGGAATGAATGGTCAATTAGAGGGTGAAAATTGGGTGGAATGTGCAGAATGTTTTAAATTAGTGAGTATAACTTTTGTCCAGTTTTTAAAATTATGTATTAATTTATTTTATTAAATTCTAATTTAATTGAAATAGGTAAATGACTGGTTTTAATGCGAGAGTCCCAGAGGCAGATAGTCGGGAAAGAAAGAAAGCCTATGGGTTGGGTAAATAATATAATATCAAAAATGACTGAGATTATGCAATTCCAGAGGGGTAAGTAAAATTATATAGGCTATGTCTAGATTTTATTTCATCTGTAATAAATTGCCATAAACGTAATGTAATAGATTTAGCAACAAAAATCACAAGTGTTAAAGAAAAACAATTTTTTTTTTGTGTGTATTGTTGTTTGTTTCAGGCATAATAATCACCAATACGTGTTTACATTATTGTTTAAAGATCTTGAACAAAGATTTGAGACAAAATATATATTAACATATAGACTGAATCAGGATGTGATCAAAAATTTCTTTGGAGCCATTAGAGCAAAGGGAGGCCTACATGACCATCCGGATCCCCTTAAATTCAGCTATTGCTTACGTTCATACGATGGATCACTTTCAGCCTATGGTAATGTTGAGGACGATGATACGCCTGATTTACCTCCTGCAGACGAAAATTTAGGTTTCTATATTATTATGAATTTTATACATCTAAAACAATTAAATTTTATGATTTAGGTGCCCAATGTTTTTCAAACCTCGTAAATTTTGAAAGTCTGTCTGAAACAGAAGAAAATTTAAAAGAACTGGAAGACATGGATTAGAAAACCTTGCTGGTTTCATCTGTCACAGACTGCAGGAACCAAGCAGTTCATTAACCAGCTCACATGAAGGGGCTTATTCTTGGGTTAGTCATTTAAATGAATGGTTGGAAGTCATTTTTAACAATATTAATTCAGACACTATATTAATTACAAAAAAATATTTAGATAAATTGTATAATCCAAGTAGCACTGTTGATTGTAGTCAAAATGTGAAAAAGTTGTTTTTTACATCCAGAATGTTCTTCAGAATGCGACACTTAAATAAGGAAATAATTAATACTTCATTAACCAAAAAAAGAAAATTAAAGAAAACTGTCCAGTAGTTTGTAAAAAAAAATACTTTAAAACCGTAGTTAAAGGCCTTTTTTAATTGTAGTAATTTAACACAACTAAAAAAAAGTCCCTAAATATGGTTTTAAAGTAAAATTTAATTAATAAAAATAAAGTCTGTCTACAATTGTTTGAACAAACTTTTAATAAAGTGAGAAATTTATGTTTAAAAATAAGCTAGACTAACTATTAAATAAAATAGCTTTATTTTAATAATTATTTTTAATTATTTGTTAACAATTATTATTATTATTATTTATACTAATTATTAATTTTTTCAACAGATTCTAAGGATTTAGCAATTTTTTTGCTTCTATCAGCGGCTTTTCCAAAGCCTAAGTTTAACACAAATAAAACCGACGTAAGCAGTTTAAAAAGTAAAAAAAAATTAAAAAAGACAAATCTGAAAATATTAAAGGATGAAACCCTTTAAAACCTGAAGCGCGTGGAGGATTTATTTTTAATGGTAAAGTTAGTTTAATCACAATTTAAAAACATTTGCGCGTTTTTTTATTTACCACTGGAATAAACTAATTTATTATTTTTTTTATTCCGCACAGGCTGCCAATCATGTTTTAACAAGTTTAAGTCAATTGCAAAACACTTTAGCAACTTACAAACTACCTCTTCAACCACGGCCAGTAATCGTTGGATGTGTAGAAAACATCATTTCATCGCATATTTATATTAACTAAATACTATACGATTTGGAATCAAGTGTCCGAAGCGTAGAGGCTGCATTTAAAACATACTACGCTTTAAACGCACAATACCTTCCGGAAGCAAAATCAGCCTGGCTCTTTATCGAACAGGCAGTTTTCAAACTGGACATCCAACAGGAGCAACCAATTCCAATGTCGGTAACAACTCTAGTAGGTGAACTTAGTATTAATTTTCATCTGGAAAATTAACACTACGTTTAGTTTTTAAAAATACCATTATTTTTTATTTATATTTAGAGTTCCAAAGTGTTTAGCACTTTTTCAGTAAACATATTATTTACGAACATGGGCTGGAAGATCCAATGCAATCAAATCAATGTTTGGGATCTTGTACACGAAAGTATGATTGCATTAAAAGTTTTCGGAAACATTTAAGAAATATTCATTTTTATCAACCTAGGCATCACAAACCTAGTAGTAAAAAGCAAATTAATAAAAAAAGTATTGTAGAAGAATTTCAAGTTTATGATCATGAAGCTGACTGTTGAAGCACTGGTCAGTGATTGGCTAGCACTCACGCCAGACAGACCAGTTCGACTTGCTTAAAAAGCCGCACAAGCGAGCATTCACTCTCTCTTCCGCGCCATCCTTCGACTGCTCCACATCTAAGGGCCTCTAACCGGGACTTAGATGCCAGAAAGGTCAAGCCTGCTTGCTGAAGATACTCTGTGTTTTACTCAACGACCTACCTTCGCTGCTCGCACATCGGTCCACCCGGACGATTGCTCGCCAGCCTACGCATAAAAAGAAAGAATTAACTATTCAGTAATCAAGTTACCGACGTATAAAAAGAAAGAAATACTTCGAGTAATAAATTACCACGGGTCGCTGGGTAAGTATTAGGCGACGTTCCACTGCTGCCGCGTAGCTCCACGACGCCTACCACTGCACCGACGCCCACGACTGCCGCGACGGCCGCCGACGTAGCGACGCCCATCGAGGCCGCGACGCTCACCGACGCCGCGACGCCCATTGCCGCCGCGACGCCCATCGACGCCCCGACGCCTACCGACGCCACGACGCCTACCGACGCCACGACGCCTACCAACGCCGCGACGCTTACCGACGCCCACCACCGCCGCGACGCTCACCGACGCCGCGACGCCTCCCGACGCCGCGACGCCCACCGACGCCGGAACGTTCACCGCCACCGCAGCTCCACCGCTCGGCCCCACGGCCCCACTGAATGCCCGTTGTGACGCGAAGCCAGACGTCCGCCGACCGACACTCCGTACGCGAACCCGCCATGGCCGAGACGCAGACCGCCGGCACGCAGACAACCGGCACGGGCCCCGGCCCGGAGTCCGACACGACTGAAGAGTACCTCGGCGGCCCCGGAGGTAGCGCGCCCCTCGCTTCGCCCCTGGACGTACAAGAGACGGCCCTCGGGGACCACCAGACGGGAATGGACCACCTGGGGGACCACCGTCTACAACATGGCGCCCGAGCATCGGACTTGAACCCCGGACAAGTCCCCCCATCATCAAGGATACCCAGGGCGGACTTGGGAGTGCTACTCGAGGAGCTCGCCATCGGTTTGAAGGAGGTGCCCATGCAACGTGTGGTTTTCCCCACATATCAAGGGGAGGACCACCAAAACCCGCAGTTCTTTCTGCGGAAAATGGAGGAGGCCCTGAAAAAGCGGCGAATTCCGACGGAAGAATGGGCGTTCCACGCACTGGGCCAAATCAAGGGGACCCAGGAGCAGGAGTTCCTGTGGTACCGGAGCCAGGAGCTGTCGTGGGAAGATTTTCGAGAAATCTTCTCACAAACATTCATGGACGAGGAACGGGTGGCAAAGCTGACGTCCAAGTTCTACGGGGAGCGGCAGCCAGAAGACGAGAACGTGACCCGCTTCATCCAGCGGAAGCGGTCAATGGCCCAGTGGCTGCTGCCCGAGGTGCCGGAGGCGAATCTAGTGCGGGTAGTGTTTAACCTGCTCCAGCCGCGCCTTAAGTACGTGCTGAGGGCCGAGAACATTGCGGACATGGCAACGTTGACCCGGAGGACCCTCATCACGGAGGCCGACATGCGCGCGTGCGACTTTAACCGCGCCACGGCAATTAAGTTCCGCGCCCAACCGTCGGAAAACTCCGACCGGAGACACACGGGGGAGAGTGTGACTCCGAGATAAACACTATTACAGTGAACAAAAAGACAAGTCCCGTGATAGACATTAAGTGCCGCGGGCAAGTAAATAGGTTAAGTGCGTTGATTGACACAGGTGCGGATATGTCGGTAGTGGCAGCAGAGTACGCGCCGGATTACGTGAAGAAGCAGGCGCGAGTTTTAGCCGTAGGCGGTAACACCGTCGAGATCCTCGGCTACGTCCAACTTCACTTCACGATCCAGGACCGCGCGTACCGGTACACCATGCACGTCGTGCAACGCCTGCCGGTTCCCGTCATACTAGGTATGGACTTCCTCACAGAGCAGCGAGCGCTCGTCGACGTCGCCAGAGGATGCG